CGGTGGGCCAGACGGCAGGAGCCCAGACCGAGACACCTACCCGCTAGCAAATTTGCGTTTTCTCTCACTTACTGCAGGTATTACAATCCCAGGAACAGCTAGGTTTTACTTCCAGATCTCGAGCTGTGCCAGGGCCTGTTACAGAATCAGTCAGGTTGGAAAAGACCTCTGAGATCATCAAGTCCAACCTATGACCCAACACCACTATGTCAACTAGACCATGGCACTAAGGGCCACATCCAGTCTCTCCTTCAACATTAATCTCCAGGAACGGTGACTGCACCTGACAGTAATGCCCTAGGCAGTCTATTCCAGTATCTAATCACCCTTTCTGTGAAGAAATTCCTCTTATCAGCTAACCTAAACCACCCCTGGCACAGCTTTGAGGCTGTGCCCTCTCATCTTGCCACTAGTTGCTGGGGGAAGAGATTGACCCCCCACCTGACTATAACCTCCTTCCAGGTAGTTGTAGAGAGTGGTAAGGTCATCCCTGAGCTGCCTCTTCTCAAGACTAGACAAAAACAACTCTTCTCCAGGCTAAACAACCCCAGATCGCTTAGCCTCTCCTCATAGCACCTGTGTTCCAGACCCTTCATTGACCTTAATAAACATATGCACTTCAATCCAGTAGAATTTAGACCAGCAAAGGCCTCAAATCTTTCCTCGGCAGAGACTGAAAACAGTTTTCCCCCAGTCACTAGACAACACACAAACATGCCAGTAAATCAAGGGTTGAGTTTTCTCATGCTTTTATTCCCAAGGCAGGTTTAAGGAGTAATTTAAAATCATTTCAGTAGCACAGCAGTTTCAAGATCTGCTTACATTACAACTCATTAACATCAAACCTGCTGCTTCTCTTAGTATCAGCAGCAGCTTCAGTCAGTTTTGTACACCAGTGAAGTCTGCAACTGAGCAGGCATCTTCCATAGTGCAGACTTACACTGCACGTGATATTGCTTATAATGTGCACTTCTTACAAGTTTTATTTATACTTTATATTACACTTACATACCTATACTGCCTTTCTCCACAAGACTATCTGTTCTGTGTTCTTGGTAACTTCTTGGAAATTTCAGGTTAGACTACTTCATGCAACATTTTATTGAAAAAATTTTTGAAGTGAGATTTACAATTCAGAACCCTGTAAGGTTAAACACATTCTACAAGTGCGTTTCATTCTGAATGAATCTGTACTTCCTGAAGACAACAAGACCTGTTCTAACAGTAGATTCATAAACTGTTACTAGAACCATTTAGTGAAACTACGAAATGCAGCAAAAGCTGGAGAAAAGCTATTGCTTTGTACTTTTATTCACACACATGCAGAAGAGTGCAGTCAGGTTTGAAACAGCACTCCAGAAAAACTAAGCCCAATGTAACCAGGAAATACTCTACACTAATGCTAGTTGAACAACTCTGCAGGATAAACATTTGATCATTTAATGGCCAGACACTTTTATGCATGGTCTCCTAGGTCCTTTCGCTTCATCAGTGCACTCCATCTTCTCCATGCAGGCGCCTCATTTTGCTCCTGCCTGAAGAGATTTCCTTTCATTCGCTGCCTTCTGCTTCTGCTGCATGATTTCAGTGTCTCTGTGAAGAAAAAAAGACTTGGGTTTTAGATACTGGCTCATAGTTTTTCTAAGCAGAGTCTCCCTCCTCCAGCTTGCTTTTGCCCTTTAGTAACTTCAAGAAGGGAAAAACATGAGTATGAAATTTCTCAGCTATGACAAATGAACAGTTTCTATTACCCCATGTTCTCAGTGCAGTATTCCATGAGGCAGACAAGTTGCTCGATTAGACCTTACATAAATCTTTCAGTTTTAAAAGTAAAGGACACAATGGATAAAACATCTTCAAGACAGCATTACACAATCTCTTCCTCTTTGTACCAGGCCAAAAATGCTGCTTAAAAGAAATAAAAGCTTTACAGGACTTAGAAAAAATAAATCTGTTTAACAGCAGATACAGCAGAACTTCATCCATGGTTTATGCTCTGGCATGAGATTGGACTATGAACCAAAGTACTTCGGTGCTGTTTCAGCTAAGACACTGCATTTTTTCTGATCCATTTCCTCTTCCTTTTCCACCCAACTACTTCACTCAACTTTACTAGCTCTTACCTCTGTTTTCTCTGAGAAGCAGACAAGCTATCCTCTTTCCTTTTGCCCTTGTGGTTCTCCTGAGTTTTCTTCAGGTTTTTCTGGCGGGCAAGCTCACGCTGGTTCCCACCTGTAAGAAAATACAGTTATACATGTACTATGATTTCCCCCTTCCCCCATTTGCCTATGCAGAAATCTCTTATAAAGGTGGTGAAGTCTGATGCAATCTGCACAGCTGGTATGGCCATATCTTCCATCAGTGTCCCCTTCCAGTGCACAGTGGGAGACAATAAAGCCTGTTACTTCTCACATCTGCAACCCTGACCAGACAATGTTCCTGAGGGCATGACATCAAACCCAACCACTCTCCACCTAAATAATCAGGGTGTTCCATGCAATGGCCAAAGCCATCACAATTACAAACTCTTCTGCATTAGCTGGCAATCTTTCCATAGCATCCTCCTCCCTACAGTTCTAGCCCGCTCTAACCTGCCAGGACTGGTCTTGGTATCTCTTCTTGCTCTGCTTCTTCTGGACTCAGAGTGTTCCAGATATGCTAGGCATAATCACTTGTGCTGTTGAACAAACATGATCACATTTTTCTATGCTCAAAAACAATTCTATCTCTCCGTAATTTGTCACGTCTCTTTCCAGTCTCTTCCCAGTCTTAAGACTATCACCTATGCTTTCAATCTTTCCATCTCAAAGACAGACATCTCTCCTATATCCAGGTGCTTGCAATTGAAGGTATAAGGAAGCAGTTTAGGACTAGGTCAATTTTAAGCTACAACCTGCTGAGACGATCCACAGCTTTGTACTCGCCCCATTCCTGAGCTGACAAAGGTGCTTGCCATGTCAACGAGGGGACAGAAGCACCCCTGCAGAGGCAGGGGTTCGTGCATTCTTCAAGTGTACTGCCTGGTACAGTAGCCCAGGCAGTGAAGTCTGCGCTTCACTGAAGCCCAGACAAAACCAGCCTATTACAAGTACTACTTCCTGAGGGCTGCTCCTGCCTCCTGAGAACATCATGCACCTCCTTTTGAAAAAGCTTAGAGAACTTGTGCTCCATTCTCCATACTGCCCCCAAAGATCATCTAGATGAAGGCCAGTTATTTATTCAGAAACAAGTAAAACAGTTTTGTCTCTGGCAGTACTAGCACTGATTAGAACTTGATGACTCATGAACAGATGACACTTTCCAAACTATAAATAGTTCTTGAATTTTGTGGTCCTCAGGAGGCACAGACATCACATGAACAATTTAACAATTAAAGAGCTCTTCCACGGTGCTTTAAAATAAATTATCCTCTTTTGTCACAAAGAAAAAGAAAGTCAAACCACGCTGCTGTAGCCAGAATTCACACAGCAGTTACCCTCTACCCTTAACCTTTGGCGCTTCTTTCCTACGCAGACACAGTGCATGGTCTCTGCAGAGTTATTCCATACACAAAGGTTGTAAACTTAGGAATCCAACTCAACAGTACCACTGGAAAGCGTGGCTCACTTTTGAACAGTAAAGCAGAGTGATAAAGCACGCCGACAAGGCATAGAGAACCAAACAACCACTTGAAGAGAAACTGACTTTTAGCTTCCAAGCAAACACTGCCAAGGGCTATCTGGCTCCATTACTTCACCTGGGGTTCTGAATGAGGACCCCTGGCTTTAAGAGAGCCCATGCTGTTCTCTACACTCTAACACCGAGCTAAATCCTCCACAAAACTGTCCCAACAGAAAACAATTCAGCTTCCTCTAACGCGGAATTCAAGCATGGACTGCCACACAAAGGCTAGTACATCCCTCCTGCTTACACCCCTGCCTGAGCTCCCGTCCTCGCCTGCCCGTGCAAGGCATAGGCCTTTGTTCAGCCGGTCCTCGCGCTTGCAACTCCAGCGGACGAAACACCGAGAGAGCCTTGTGCCTGCCTGTCCCGCGCCGCAGACCCTTCCTGCGCGCAGACTGCTTACGGCCCAAGCCCTCGGCTGCACTCCCAGCAGTGCAGCGGCTTCAAAACCGCGTGTTTCTAAGCGTGACCGTAAAAGCACGGGCTGGCCGAGGCACAGGCGGTGCCTGCAGAGGCCGCGGAGCAGCGGGAGCAGCAGGGGCTCCGGTCTGCGCGCAGCTCTCCGCCATGTTA